AGAACAGCAAGTCAAATAGGAGCAAGTAACAAGTAGACTACCTTGGGCAGGCTGCCAAGGCCATTCCATGCATCCCATTTGGCCTTATTGACAAAGTCGAACACACCAGGCTTGGGCGCATTACAAGGGCCTTCCGTGGCCTGTGGAAAGGAGAGGGGCGGCTGTGGTCAGATACTCATGCAAAAAGGAACCATAAATAAATGCACAACTAGATGACCATGTCTGCCCTTCACCAAATACTTGGACAAGGTACAAAATTGATGTGAACTTTCCTCTCTGAGGTTACTGCCAAAACATGCACAAACAACTGGAAAAAAGCCTGGAGACAAAATGTGCTATTGGCTATCAGTCCCTATATTTTTCACTGCCTGAATGTGAAAATGAAGCAAGAGAAGTGTTTTTGGGAAAGTCAAAATCCCGAGCTCTCCATTTATATGGCTTGACAAGGAGAAGCACCTGACTCATTTTAGAGAACAGCAAGTCAAATAGGAGCAAGGTAACAAGTACTTTCAGAAGTACTTAGTTCAGAAGTTTTCTATGGGTGATCACATATTTAATACACAATGAAATATTCAAGAAACATTTGGAAACTCACAATAATGCTGAAAGCCCAGTCAAAGGTTTAAAACAGCCCACTCATTCAGTGGGGAATTTTCAGTAATGGAGTAACAAAACTGTTGCTGGGAAGCAGTCGTAGGGAGGGTCAGAGCCACTGGCCCTTCAAAAATATAACTGAAGAACATGCAAGCAGAAAGCAAAAAAGCACCTAATTTTGTTTGTTTCGGGTAGACTGAGTGTTTTGAGATGAATAAAATATCCTACTCGGCTGCTTTTCAGAAATGGCAATTTAAAACTCCACTTAGAGCCTCCCTGGTGGCGCAAGGGTTAAGATGCAATCTATGAAGCACCGCAGTCACTGCAGCATGAGTTCGATTACTGGCCAGCCGGGGAGCAACCCACATGGCACAGCAGACCTCTCCTGACTCACCCTCCTCCCTCAGCGGTGTATTTTGGTCAATGCCTGTTCTGTTTCCCACTCTGTCTCTGGTGAATCCTCTCACCTCCCCCCACAACCTTTGACCTGTGCCCTAGCTCTTGTATGCATAGATAAATAAATCTTAAAAAAAAAAAATTAAAAAAAAATAAAAAAAAACCTCCACTTTTAATAACCCTATTCAAAAAAATTTTTTTAAGATTTTTTTTTTATACAAGTACCAGGGTACAGGCCAGATATGCGGGAGGGTGAGAGGATTCACCAGAGACAGAGCAGGGAACAGAACAGGCAGAATGATGAAACACACTGCTGAGGGGATCAGTGGGCGAGGCAGGAAGGTCTGCTGCACCATGTGGGTTTCTCCCTGGCTGGCCGGGGATTGAACCTGCGCTGCAGAGGCTGCGGACAGCTTCACAGTGCGGTGCTTAACTGCTTGCGCCATCAGGGGAGGCCCAAGATTTCCCCTACTTCTGATGCCAGGTGCAAAGGTAGGGACTCCTGAGCCCATCCTCAGGTTCAATAATCTGCTAGAATGACTTGCAGGGCAACCTGGGCACTATTACACTCATAGTAGTTAAGGTTTATTGGGAAAAGGATACAACTTAACATCAGTGAGGAGGAGACACATGCTGGGGAGTCTGGGGAAGTACCCCCTACTATCCCCTCCATCAGTCAGGACAACCCATATCCTCAGAACTGACTGAACACACACACAGGATGGGTCCACCAGGGGAGCTCACTCAAGCCGCGGTGTTCATCAGGGGCTCCATCCTGCAGGTATGACTGATTGTGGAAGCGAGAGGCCCCACCCCAGGTCACCGAATGACTCTGCTGGGCCAGTCCCACTCTAAATCACACCACCAGACTACTTGGGTAAACAATAACACTTCTATGGCGCTTGGTAGTTCAAGGGCCTAGAGGTCAGAGCAAAGGTCAGGCCTTTTTTATGGGCAAAGTTAAATTCTTAACTCTCTCCACACCCACACGAAAGTAAGAGACTCATACCAATCACAGGAATAGAGAGAAAGCAACAGGAGCCCAGAAGAACTGACCTCACAAGGGAAATTTATGGACGTTGGAAGTTTAAAATTTAAGTTTTAAATTTTTGTTATAAAAAATTTTCAGACATAGCAAAAGCAGACTAATATAAAGGATTTTCCGTACTCATCAGCCATGATTAACAACTTTTTTTTTTTTTGGCCATTGTTGCTTCACCCATCCTCTTCTTTTTTTTGTTCAATTATCTTAGTGATTCCCAAACACCATTCTAGTTTGCCTCAGCATATTTAGTACGCATTGTTGCTAAGAAAAATCAACATTTTCTTATGAAAACATGACACTGTCAGCACTAACTCCTCCTTGGGATCATCCAATATTCCATGTCCAAATTTCCCCAATTGTCTGAAAAAGTCTCCATTTATTCTAATCAGCACTCAGCAAGTTCTACATATTTGGTTGGGATATCTTTAAATCTTTTACTCTGGAGTGATCCTGGGGGATTACTTTTTTGTCTTAGCAGTACAGGTTTCCCCTTTTATCCAAAAGTGGTGTTCCTCTGAAACTTTCATAAGCCAAAATGGTATAAAAGCAAAAAGATAATTACCTTTCATTTATACAGAAACATTTCTGGCATGAACAGACTATTCCTACCTGTCATACCAAGTAACACACAAAACCCACAATAACACACATAGTGAAGTAGCACTGACATGATAAATACACAGCTGTGTCACACAGCTCCTGAAGAAGTGGCAGAAGGCGCTTTTGAGAAAGGGGAGACAAGTGTATTTCAAAGTCTAATGTACCGAAATGCTCCTGGAGACACTTCAGAGGAAAGGCAGCAACACAAACCTAAAAATATTCAAGTCGGATTTTAAGCACCCAGCATAACTATTTGAGAAGCCATCTGCTCAAAAGGTCTTTAAATTCTATTAGGCCTCAGACACTTACCTGCTTATAGAGTGCATAGAGTTTTAGCTTCACTTCATTCCTGGATCTGTCTTTAAAAGGCTTCACCTGATTCATTGCATTTTCAAAGTTCACCTGACTGGCTCTCATTGCTGTTCCACTCATGTGCAGCGGGAATGCCTGGGAACAGGTGACCTGCACAGGACTGCAAACAGGCAGACTGGTTTGTCACTGTTCCGTCCTTGCACAACCAAATGCTGTGTCCTCTCTAAATATCTTCTCTAAACTTGCCCTGCTGCTCCCCCCAAGCTGGCTGCAAATGGTTTGAGGTTGCCAAGATGACTCCCAGAAAACAGCAGAGGACAACTGGAGCAATTTTCCAATGACAATCCAACATGGTATTTGGAGCAACTCTAATACAGATAAAAGCAGGTGCAAATTTTGCCAGAAGCAAAATTCTTCTATCTGCTTGAAAAGCACAGTTAGAAATATGAGATAGAGACTAAGGGAGTGAAATGCACAGAAAGAATTTAAGTCAATTGTGCCTCAAGGTCCAGAACAGCCTTAGCATTCACCTATTAACAAAGTATAAATTCTTTTTTTTTTAAGTTTTTTTTTTTTTAAGATTTATTTATTATGCATACAAGAGCTGGGATACAGGCCAGAGATGCGGGGGGGGTGAGAGGATTCACCAGAGACAGTGGGGAGTGGAACAGCACACAGACTGAAATACACTGCTGAGGGGAGCAGCAGGTAAGACAGGAGAGGTCTGCTGTGCCATGTGGGTAGTTCCCTGGCCTGCCGGGGATGGAACTCATGCTGCAGAGGCTGCCATTGCTTCTTAGTGCATTGCTTAACCCCAAGTATAAATTCTTAACAGTCAATTCTATGCTCTCTACTCAGCAAACGTGTGCCCCAACATTCCACACAGGTGGGAGAAGGGGTGAAGATACAGGAAGTGCTCAAAAGGACAGGTGAGCAGTTGCAGGGCTTACAGACAGAGAACCCCTTCTTTCTTGGGATTGGGACCAATGGGGGCCGGGAGTGGGGGGGTGCTGGGGGGGTGAGGGCAGGACCGGGAAATGTACCTGCTGTGGACGCCGTGAAGTTGGGCTGAGCAGAATAGCCCCTGCTCCCACAGGATGTTAAACCAGCCAGGCAGCAACAGAGCAGAAACAAGGTCCAGCTAATTTTTAAGCACACACAGTAAGCAGAGGGGGCAGGGAAAGTTCAACTGAAGCCACAAGGAAAAATGAGTGTTCACGACGACGACGACCCTGAATCATAACGTTTAAAGGCATCCGAGATTGAAATAGTTAGAAATAAGCCTAAATCTAAAAAAATAAAAAAAAAAAAAAAAAAAAGCCTAAATCTAATAAATATATCACCGCTACTGCACTCAGGCAAATTTCAGAGCATGATGAACGCTACAGCAAATCTTGAAATGACCAGTGTGTAATTCGACAATTTTCAGTCTTTCAAAAACTTTTCGATTAAATTATCCAGTGGAAAATCTGCCTCTTACGTGAATTTCGCCCTTGGCCAGTCCCAAGCAGAAAACAAAAGGAAAACGTTAATGCCTTAAAGTGCCGGGTCCCACAAAACCTGGTGCAAACATATAAAAAACTTAGTTTTTTATATGACACAGCACGACCGCTAGACACACAACACCCGGAAAGTCGCCACCACGTCCCGGGGCTGCTCGTTCCCAGCGCACAGTCTCGTTTGGGGCTTCAGACTTTGGACCCCTTCATCTAACACTCCATAACTGATGCCTTCCCCCCAAGAAGCGCACAAGCGAACCCACCCGGCGCCAAAGGGCCCGAACGCTCGGGCTCCGTTTCGCGAACGCCGCGCGCGCCGCGGGGGCGGCCGCGGGAGGCCGGGCCGAGGCGCCCCTCAGCGAAGGACACCGGGCGCCGCCCCCGCGGGGCCCCTGAGAGGAGAGTCCGCGGCCGCCGGACGACATGGCGGGGAAGACGGCCCGGGACGGCGGCGCCCCGCGGGCGACCTTGGACCCCGGGCCCGCGCTCACCTGCGCAACGCGCCCCAACTCCAGCGCCGCGCCAGCCGCCCCGCCGCGCCAGCCAAGCGTCTCGGCGCGTGGGCGGGGCCTCGGCCCTACGTGCCCCGGAGGGTGGGGTCGGCCGCGGAGGGGCGAGAGGCGGGGGGGAGCGGGGACGCCATAGGCCGAAACGGAACGGGGCGGGCCCGGGCCGTGGCCTGGGGACCATAGGTTCAGAGTGGACAAGGGCGCGGCGCGCGGGGGGGCGGGGCGCGTGGCCTCTGGCGGCCGCAGGGCGCAGCCGTGACTGGCAGCTGCGACGCTGACTGGGCCCCGCGGCGCTGCGGGCGCCTCCCGAGCGGCGGGAAGGCGGCGGCGCGTCTCGGACGCCGGAATTCCTCGCACCCGGGGCTGCCGGGCTCCGGGCGCCCTGAGCGGGGTCCCGCCCGCGGTGCTCCCGAGACCCAACCTCCAGCTCCGGAGGGCCCACCCGGGCGTTCCAGGCGAGAGGGCGCAGCTGTGGAGGTGTGGTCAAATCTGCCGCAGGTGCCTCAGGTGTTTGCAGCCCATCTTTCCCCGTCAGTCGCCATCTGTGGAGATACATATATATATTATATATTTTTTTTTTTAAAGATGTATTTTTTATTTATACAAGAACCGGGGTACAGGCCAGATGCGCGGAAGGGTGAGAGGATTCACCAGAGACAGAGTGGGGAGCAGAACAGGCAGATCTACTGAAACACCCTGCTGAGGGGAGCAGTGGGGAGACAGGAGAGGTCTGCTCGCCACGTGGGTTGCTCCGACACCAGCCAGGGATCGAACTCATGCTGCCGAGGTCTTAGATTGCCCCATAGTGCGGTACTTAACCCCTTGTGCCATCAGGGAGGCCCATCTGTGGATATTTTTGAATTCTTACGTCTTGGTGGAGCCTTTGGGCTCTCCCCTCGCCCGTTCCAGGAGAACCAGAACCGAAACTATCACTAAACCGGTGTCAAGGTGCGTGTCCAAGAAGCCTGGGACCGTGGGGTGTTTACTGAGGTGGACACTTGGGGCTCCCTGTGATGTTCCGGCTGTGGTTCTTTGAGCAACCCTGTAGGGAAGACGGTCAGCCCCATTTTGTTAATGCGGAAACTGAGGTCCAGAAAGACTCGTGAGGTGACTTGTGCAAAGACCACAGATGGGCAAGTGGTCAGTCTTGGTTCAACTCAGCGCCCAGCGTCTCAGTCCCATTGACTGAGTCTTCGTCCTGGTCGCCCATTGCTGCTGGTGCTGGGTCAGTCAGTCTGGGTCATAGTGTGGGTGGGGGCAAGACTGAAGGCCAGAGAGGACAGGCAGTGGGTATTGTAAAACCTTCCTCACATATTACCCCGGGGTGGTTGGTAAGCTGACCTGAGTCAAGACCCTGACCCTCTGCCAGGCCCAGAGGAGGACCCAGGAGGCCATGAAATGTGCTTGTCAGAAAATGCAGAGCCAGGAAATATCCCAGAAATATCAATGTTTTTTAAAAGTCCCCTGCTGGACAGCAATGTGGATTGTGAGACAATATATCACAGAAATGCAAGTGAACTATAACACAAGTGAAAACTGGGGGTGTGGGACATTAGCTATCAGTCTACCTGAGAAATAAAAAAGGAGCATGTGTCAAGGATTTACATCAGCCATTAACTAGGGAACTAGCAGAATCTCTGGTAAAAACGAATTTGCACGACTGGTTTATGTAGTCATAGAAAAACAGTGCTGGGGTAGAGTGCAAGTTTAGATATAAAACTGGCTGATGTCCTACAAAGCAATAGCCTGTGCCTCTGGGGGACAGTTTTTACTGCTGGATAAATCACTTGTATTTCCACCAGCTGTCATTTTCCCAGGGCCCATTGTAAACTCACATTGGAGAGAGGGGAGGTCCTTGAGAAAACAGTTCTTCCTGGCTCCACCTTTGGCCTACTAAAGCGTTGGCAGGAGTCCAGGCCACCCCATTTAATCATGGCTGGCATGGCCTTGTGGGTGAGGACACTAGTTCTCAGGAATGATGTGAGCGGTGAGATGCCCTGCCTGCATGTGAGAGCACTGGGCCCACAAAGGGGTCTGCGTTCTGTGTGGGGTGTGGGAGAGCCACCAAAGATAGAACTCCTGTGTCTGCTTCTCCAGTTCTCTGTGCAGTCCTGTACTCCCGCTGGAGCCTCAGAGTGTGAGGCTTCTAGATAAGAGGGAGCCAGGAAACCAGTCAACATCTCACCTAATCTCCACTATGTTGTATAATCAGGTTCCCTTGGTGCTCATGAGGGTTTTGGAAGGCGATATCCAATCGGGTTAGATCTCTTCTTGAGTACTGAATGCAGGGGAAGGCTCTGTCTAGAAGGATTGTTCATGTGGCTCCGCAGAGAATCCCAGACCTCCTGAGTTGTCACAAGTTGCCAGGAGTGTTTCCCTGCTGCTCAATGAGGGCTAAATGCTTATTTGTTAAGATCACAGAGTAGAATCTACCATTTGTGGCTCTCTTGATAGTCACAGTGATTATTTTTATTTCTGAGATTTAAACCATCAAGTACTGTAATTACAACAATTAAAAAGTCTCATATAAGGTCATAAGGAACTATTCTAGCTCCATTGTCTATTGGCAATGCTAACTGGGCACCTGGGAGCATCCTGGACTCTGATTCATTTCTATAGGTTGCCAAGTCTTCTGTCTTCTAAATATCTCTACTTCCTGCCACCTCCAACCCCTCTTCCCCCTACCTGTCTGAACTCAGGCCCTCATCAAGATCTGTGTTACTGTTTCTTTCATGATCACTACAGACAGTTCCCAATTTATGATGGTTCATCTTACTATTTTTCAACTTTATGATGGTATTAAAGCAATGTACATCCAATAGAAATGATCCTATCAATTTTGAATTTTGATTTTTTCAAAATAGTGACATGTGGTACAACTCTTATGATGCTGGGCAGTGCAGCCCTGGGTCAATCACGTGATCACCAAGGATACTCTACGAATACTGTGGTGCCAGCAGGTTTTGGATAATGTGTTTTGTGATTTTATAACAGGGTGGTCCCCAGAAAAGGGGGAGGTTCCAGTTTTCCTGCCCACCCAAAGGAGGGTGGAGCTGAGTGGGAATTGAAGAAGCTGCAGAGGAGACTAAAGAAGGAAGGAAGCTGGATGGAGAGCCAGAAGGAGACCTGGAGGAGGCACATGGAGCTGAGAGACACATGAAGAAACTGCACTTGCCTTTTGGTCGTGGACTGGGTGACACAGATGTGGGTGAGAGACCTGTGGGGAGGTGACAATGGTGGTTTTTGTCTTGCTTTTGATTTTGTTCTTTTCCCTCCAGACTTGTCTGGTTGTTTCTGATCCTTTTCTATGGTTCCCCATGGGAAGATGCTTTAGACTTGTGGCAGGCTTTGGGGCCTTGCTCTGGGCCAATCCCATTTGGACTTTTACCCCCGAGGGGACGGGTAACTTTGGGTGCTTGATTTAGAAACTAAATTCTTTGCCTTTCCTGTATTGTTTCCTAGTTGTATTAAAGTTCCTTCCCATTAAAGTCTCATGTTTTGTGTTGATGTGGCGGATGGTAGAACCTATTTAGAGCAGGCAGGTTTGGGGGCTCTGGGCTGCCCCTCTCCCTGCCCTGTACAATTTCACACTCCATGGTGCCTGCAAAAGGCCTCTCTGTGTCTCCTGCTTGTGGTAAGAAGAAAAAGACAATTTACTCTTGAGATAAATCTCAGGATCATTGCCCAGCTGTAGGCTAGTGTGTGCACATTTAAGGAAGGCTGGGCTAGGCTCTGCTGTTTGGTAGATTAGGTTCACTAAAGGCATTTTTGACCGAGGGTATTTTCAAGTAAGATGGGTTGACTGTGTGGAGCCCAGTCATAAGTGGAGGCGCTACTGTTCGTAGATTATTGTTAGAGCCACAGACCCGTTTTGCTGATTCATCCGCACCTCTGCGGCCCATTCTCTGCCTGCTTCCTGACTGACCTCCCCAAGTTGTAAACCTGACACTACACTTGTACTAGTTCTCCCCTTACCTTTCCCAGTGCCTGAAATCCTTGTTGTGGGTCGTATCTGCCTTCTCAACAAATCCAGACTTTTAAGCCTGACCTGTAAGGCCCTGGGGGTTTGGCCCTTGCCTGCCTGCCCTCTTCTCCTCCAGCCATCCCACACTGGCACCTTCCCTTTCAGATGGCAGCGGGGTGCTCAGGTCCTCTGATTCTCCACTGCCCATGCTCTGTCTGTCTGGGAAGTCTGACTGGTTGTGTTCTCCCCTCCTGAGCTCCACGGAGCTCCCCTTCTTTGAAGAGGCTCCCCTCCTCATAGGACCCCTCACTATGTACATTAATAATTAGGAATTTGTGCACAACTCCCAAGAAGATACCCTGGGAGGGCCTGAGGGTGTCTAAATGGCTTACACAGAGTGTGTCTGCTCTGAAGCTCAGGTTCTGAACTGTGGCATCGTTTCTGCTGGTAACTCTCAAGGGGTTCACAGAGCCAAAGATGTGCATCATGTACCTGGGTCTTTCTCTCAACCTAAAGTCCTCAGGTTAATCCATGTTGTAGGATGTCAGAATTTCCTTCCTTGTTAAGACTGAACTATGTTCTGTTGTGTGTTACCTTACTGTTTTATCCATTCATGTGCTGATGGACACTTGGGTTGCTGCCACCCTTTGGCTATTGTGAATAATGCTGTTATGAACATAGGTGTACCCAGCTTTCAATTCTTTTGAATATTTGTGAATCTCTCTCCCAGAAGATAAGATACATGTAATAATATGCCAGAAGAGGTTATTTCTGCAAATGTTCTGGGAAAAATTCTGTTGGTTTATAAATTGTGTGAGCTAGTTTTCCATTTCATACTAGAAAAATAAAGCTAGAAAGTCATTGCCTTTCATTGTACCAGTTAAGAGAGTTATAACTATCACCACAGGCCCATAACTTCTGCCCCAGAGCAAGTCAAAATGCTGTGAGTCCCACCCTGTTTTGGAGAATGTGCCGCGAGTATGAGGCCCTTCATCAGGAAATCATGGAGGGCTCCAGGCAGACTACTGAAGGGCACCCCCTGCAGGCAGAGGGTGGAAACAG